TTTAAAGGCCTGGACTGGTAAAGACTAAGAGAGAATTCTGTGTGTTGTTTATGTTGCAGACCCACGGATGCAGAGGCGAGAGTTGTGAAGATAAGATCAAACGGTTTTATAGTATTCGTCCCAAAGTAAGTTCTCCATTCTTTGCTTATTTCACTACCATATTAGAATTCATTAGCATTTGTAGCAAGTGTAGCCTATATATCTTATCTTTTCCTCTTGCAATTGGGAACTTTGGGGCAAAATGTACCCACCAAAGGTTTTGGCTACTCATTTTATTAGCACGTACTGTTTTCTTACGGTGGAAATCGCTATGGATTGATGCAGGTATGGAATCGAAGGCCCTGTTTATTTAACAGCAAAAGGTGAGAAAGGAGCCGGTGACTGGTACGTAGACGAGGAGAAGCAGAAGATTGTTAAGATGGATGGAAGTTTATCTTATAGTGTCTTGCAAACAGTGAAGATTCACATGGAGGTAGTTGAGCCTCAGCCTAATCGACCGAAACTCCAACTCACTCTTTTATAAAACTCTTTAAAGTCTCTCACTTTTCACAGTTTCACTTATATGTCAAAGAGTTCGTGTGCTATTCTACATTTGTTTTGTTTACTTTACGCATGTTTACTAGTTGGTGATCTGCGTTTCGAGCTGAATTTTGTATTATTATTTACTAATATGGTTAATCACTGTTAAGTCACATTCATATATAAAGCATAATAGACTTAATCATCTAATGCTTTACAACTATCCAATTACTTGATTTACGAAAATGGATCAATTAACTCTTATTAGAAAACAATGCATACTTGTATGTAGGCTTGAACAAAGCTGGATATTCGAACTTTTCAAGGTATCTGGATAATCAATTTTATTATCTGAATCTAGATCCGAAAACTCTGGATATTTGGTGTGAACCGAATATTTACGAATATCCGACTGGATATCCAGTTTCGTTGATTTTAAAAAAAAATCTGAATTTTTGTAAATAATATATAAAATAAAATTTGACACTAATTTTAAATCATAAAGATTGATGAATTCAATATAAATTTTTGTCAATTTTATCTTAAATTAGTAAATACCAACCTTTTATCGAATAACATATTGTGTGTGATAATGAATTTTTATTGACAACCAAGAAAGACAAAAAAAAATTCTCCAAATTTTACTGTTTTAATGAGTACAAATTATACTTGATAGTATTGAATTACCTTTCAATAAACTATTAAATTAATTTTTGGTATATATGAAAATAGATTTCGTATTGTCACCCTTAAATTATGTTTAAACCACTAATTATCTCCACATATTAATATTTATGTTGTTTTTTATATTGTAGTAAATATTTTTTTGTTTTTGTTTATAATTTTAACTCATATAAATATTTTAAATTCTTTTAATGCTTGTAGGTTAGTATACTAAAAAGATAACTAAAAACTATAACAAAATAATCAATTACTATTTAATAAAGATAATATTGACAGGAAAAAAATTAGTATATGTTTCTTCTCTAATGGAAAAAAAAATAAAAAATTTTTATCTTCAATTTCATTCTTTTTATATCAGTTTTATACAAAAACCGAAAAGCAATGTTAAAATTTACTTTCATTCTATAATTGATTGTATGTTATTTTATATCTACGTAATTGATATTTTGTTTAAGAAATATTTTTAATTTAAAATTATTTTAGTTTTTGTTGTAATGGAAAATATATATATATATATATATAATTTTCTTGTTTTTATATATATATTTTATTAACAATAATATTTTTTTGGAAATTTTTTTAATTTTGATTGTTGATGTGAACCAATAGAATTGCATTTTTTAATCCTATGTGGACATACTTAGAAGTATATAGCTTCAACTTTTATTAGTAACTAGGTGAATACACACGTAACGTGCGGATTTTTTTATTTTCAACTATTTCTAATTTATATTTCTGTAAAAGTAAATATAATTATAATTTATTAGTATGTTATTATAAATACTCTTAAAAATCAATTTAAAATATATATTGAATATTATTAAGTAATATAAAGTTATATTCAAATAAATTAAATATTCATCAATATTTTTAATTAATTATAACATAAATCTTTATCTAACATTTACATAAATGTTTATTTAACATTTAATCTTAATTAATTAAAAATTTATTTTTTTAAATGTTTTAAAACTTACACCTGTATTATATCATTTATTATATTTGTTTATGTCACTTTTTGAATGATGCAAATTTGTTTGCATCATTTATAAAACTGATTCTGGAAATGGGGATTCTAATGTTGCATCATTTTTATCGATTAATGTAAATACTTTCATCATTTATAATAATTGATGTTAATAAGTATCACTTGTAATAAATGATGTTAACATTTGCCTCAATAAAAATAAATGATATTATATGACAAATGATTGTAAATATTTATATCAATTTTGACCAAAAAAATAATATTTATATCAATAATTTTAATTGATATAATAATTATATCAGTTACAAATAAGTGATGCCAAATAAGTGTCAGTTATTATAAATGTTAGTAAGATTTGTATGATTTATTAAAAACTGATGTTAATATTAGTATCATTATGTAACTGATAATAATTAAACTCGTTTTTATAAATGATTATTAATATAAAATTAATTAATATTAAAATCTTATATATAAATAGACATATGTCAACTTTTCTCGTGCTGACATGTCAAACAGCTGGAGAAAGTTGATCATGTTTTATATATAAGATAAAATAAGAAGATGCTTATTTTTCAATTGTTTTTCTTATTTCAAATTTTACTGAATTGTACCAATGTATTCATAGACTCTTAATCCTTTTTTGTCAAATAGTTAAAAATAAACTATCATAAATTCAGATGTCTACGCATTATGATATTTGGTTTCGCATGAAAACGAGATCCTTATGATTCTAGGTTATGCAGCGTCTAGTGTAGGTTTTGTTTTAGCCTAGAAATTAGAAGGAATATCACAAAGGATACCAAAATAGCACAAAGGATATATTAACAGATTATTACCTTCAGAAATTAGGTGTCATTCTAATTGAATAAGTAATGATAGTTTTACAGCTGCTACCAACAATTCTGGACAACGATCGGACATGATGTTTGCACAATGGTAAAAAGATTCTTTGAGTCAGGCGAAATGGAGAAAGGGATCAATCATACGAACCTATGCTTAATACCAAAAATAACTAATGCTAAGAATATGAGTAACTATAGACTGATTAGTTTATGCAAGGTTTGTTACAAAATCATATGATATCCAAGCCGGGAAAGATCTATTAAAAAAGGGTCTAAGAGTTCAAATAGAAGATGGGAGATCAACAAATATATCGACAGATGCTTGGCTTCCAACTCTACAGTAAACATGGTAGTTTATGGTTTTTTCCCTTTTTTAATTTATTTCATTACTAATGTTCAACATTTTTGTACAAAAATAATAATTGTTAGAAGATTAAAAAACGCATCTATTGTAAACAGATGTATTCTTGTTCTTAACCTCATCAAGGACAACAACATTCTCTATCCCCTGATTCTCCAAAAGATCAATCTACCAAAAAAAAGAGAGAGATTTATTCTATTAATATACAAACTCTGAGAAGCTCAAAAGTTTAAGCTTTATAACAGAATCAAAGAATTACTTGGTGAAGAACGACGTTGGTGTCCACAACAATAATCTTAGGGGAAGACAAGCGAACAGCTTAATCTCCATCTCCCAATTTTTAAATCTTATCTCCTCTTCCGATCATCACACCTTCCTCTGTCACAAATCATCATCTCTATTTTTTCGAAAAATGCCAATATGCTGATTTAGGGGAGATCGCTCTTGTCCTCTCTATGAGTTTCTCTTTTTGTTTTACTTTTTTGAATGACTTAGTTTATGACCCTGATAAAATTTTTGCATCAAAACCTAGTGGAGTATTGATTAGGTTTTGTAATATTTTACTTTTTAAAACATTAAAACAACATATGTATAAATTTATATTTTTAATTATATTTTGCTATATATATTATTATAGCAAATAATTATTACATCTTATAATTAGTTCATAAGACTTGAAACAAATAACCAACTTACATAAAATTAGTAAATTTTAGAGAAAATAAAAGTTTATATATTTGTTGAATTCCAGTTAAGTACATGTTCTACCGGTTTCTTATAATCTCTTGTAAAATAAATTCCATCAAGTCTGGCAGTCCATTGACGTAGTTGACCAGATCTTATTATTATACCATTTCGATATACTTCAAGGTTATCAAAATAATACTCTTTATCAGTCTGGAAGTGTAAATCACAATTCCATACTATTACACCTATACTATCGAAAAAGGTATGCGTCCAATTAGAATTGAATTCACTTAAAGTTCTGACGCCGGTGTCTTTATCTCCGTTATCATGACAATGATATTGGAGAGGAATACCTGAACCGAGTTGGTTATGAACTATTATACGATTTGGATTTTTAGCTTCATACAACCCAAAAAACAAGAGAAAAACTAACATAAAAATTTTCGAATGATTCATTTTTTTTGTATGGGAGATAGTTTAAAAAACTCATCATTAGTGTGTAGTATTTATATATTTTTTATGTGTGAAAAATGTATTACTTTTACTTATTAGAGATTCTATTCTATTTTTTTTCAATTTTATGTGGATAATAGAAATTTTTTTTTGGTTAATTTATAATTTTTTTTGAATATTAAAATAAAATTGCTATAAAATAGATGTAAGTTGCATCATTTTCTCACACAACTCTTTCAATATAAAAATGGTTAGTTTATGGTTTTTTTAAATTTATTTCATTACCCTTGTTCAACATTTTTGAGAAAATAATAATAATTGTTAGAAGATTAAAAAAGCTAAACAACGACAACGACCAAAAAAGAAGAAGCTAAACACGTCGGCTCGGCTCGGCTCGAACGCGGCTCAATAGCAGTAGGAGTTTATGGTGGGGCAAGGGAGAAGAAACTGAAACTAGCCGGCACGGAGATCCCAAAACCGTAGCCTCAGACGAAGCTTCGCATATCTCTCCTTTGTTGACTTCACCGAAAAGTAAACTCGAAAACCCTCCGCTTAATCTCCGATTTCCCGATTCTTCTTAAATCTTATCTCCTCTTTCAACCATCATCGCACCTTCCTCTGTCACAGATCATCATCTCTCCGATCGGACTCTGTTCCCGGAAGATGCCAAGATGCTCCTTTCTCCGCCATCTATTCTTCTTTCTATTGCTTCTGTCTCCATGGACGTCTTATTGCGGCGGCGCCGCCGCTGAGTCGTCCAATCAGATTTCGCTATACGGAAAACCGGCTGGGAGATCGCTCTTGTTCTCTCCGTGAGTTTTCTCTCCTCATTTGAATGACTTAGTTTGTGATACTGATGATAGTTTAGATATGATTAGCATCTAAACCTTGAAAATTTTTGGTGCCTAGACTCTGTGCTTGCTTTACTTGGTTGAATTAGTTCTTAAGAGATTTAGCTTTCTGAAATTGAATGAATTTCCAGTTTCTCGATATTGTGTATACAATGATGAATTGGTTTGTACATTTTTGATGTTTTTTCATCTCTCAATGCTGTTACTGGTTGTGATGTCTTCTCATCTGTATCCAAATCAGTGAACGTACAGAGCCAAACACGGAGCTTGTTGTTGATCGTTCTGGGAAAGTGTCCTTGATACTGAAGCATTCAGAGAAACCAATATGGTCTTTTTCGTCAGGATCACCGATTCATTCGTCATATCAAGCTCCTCTAAGTGCTGTGAACAACACAGAAAATGCTACCGAGATAAGTAAAGCTTTCATAGTCGAATATGTGGATAACTCAGAGGCTACTACGGTTGATGATCGCTACACCAGACGGGTATGTGAAAAATTAAGACTTTGATAGAAAAATTAAGACTTTGATAGTTTCTGGCATCTCTCTTTATGGCTCGTCATTATATGTTGATGGCTTGATTTGCTCATTAAATGCAGACTATGGAGGACTTGCTTAAGATGACGCCCCTTGTAACTGATGATGGTGTTACTCTTGGGTCAAAAACATCTATGGCATATTTGCTTGATGGTATGTCCGGGAGGCTAATCCATGTTTATGAATCGACCCTTTCTTCCGGAGATAGTAGCAAAATCAATGCTATGGTGAAGCCCACTAGCACAGATGATTTCGTGAAGCTACCACTTCTTATCACACGAACAGATTCCAAACTAGAGCATTTTGATAAGATCACTCGAAAGCTTGTGTGGAATGTGACAGTTTCTGACTTCAGAGCTGATTTAATATGCAATAAAGTTTTCAATGCAGACAGTATGCGCGGTCCTGAAATTCTCACTGGGATTTATATGCCATTTCAGTGTGGATCAAATGGTACAGTCCGTGCTCATATTAAATCAGAATTTTTCATTAGGGTGCCTCGTGATCATTATGAAGCGAAAGAGCTACCCTCTAGGAAGTTATGGGAACAAGATGGGCAAAACTATACAGACGTGTTTGGTAAATCTTTCGGATGGTCGCCACTAAGATTATTGGTACCTTTGTTCTTTCTTGGTGCTATTGTTACCGTTTTCATAAAAATGTTTTCATCAAGGGGCAGTGATTTCAATTCAAAATCTGGACCTTCCAAAAAGAAAAGGAACCGTAAATCGGGGAAAGATGGTATTACAAATGGGCAGAGAGATAGCCAGTCAGAATTCGAGCTCATTGAAGGAGGTCAGATGTTATTAGGCTTCAATAACCTTCTAAATGGTGCAGCTGATGGGCGAAAGATTGGTAAGTTATTTGTGTCGAATAAAGAAATTGCAAAGGGAAGCAACGGGACCGTTGTGTTTGAGGGTGTTTATGAAGGCCGGGCCGTAGCTGTAAAACGCCTTGTTCGGTCCCATCATGAAGTTGCTTTCAAGGAGATTCAGAACCTCATTGCATCTGACCAACACTCGAACATAATTCGGTGGTATGGTGTCGAGTATGACCGGGATTTTGTATACCTTTCTCTGGAGCGTTGCACATGCAGTTTAGATGATCTGATCAAGACCTATTTAGAGTTCTCAATGAAAAAAGTATTGGAAAACAATGAATCTACGGAAGCAGTAAGTACATATAAGATTTCACTGGATTCTTTGGAAGGAATTGTCAAAGGAAACAACTTGTGGAAAGTGGGGGGCCATCCGTCACCTGTCATGCTGAAACTAATGAGGTTAATTTAGACTTCGTACTTTATGCATATGCCATAATATTTTTCGATTGAGAAATGTGTTATGTTCCATTTTGAATATCAAAAGTAGCAACCTTGGTTAGATGCTTTTGATAAGTCTAGGCTATATGGTCTTATAAAAGCTAGACTTATTTAATACCTTAGTTTGCTGATTTACTTTTAAAACTTATATTCGTTGTACTGTTTGTATTGTGATGCAGAGATGTAGTGTATGGACTTGCCCACTTGCATAATTTGGGAATAGTTCATCGAGACTTGAAACCACAAAATGTATTAATAACGAGAGGGATGACTTTGAGTGCAAAGCTTTCTGATATGGGCATTAGCAAGCGTCTATCTGGGGATATGTCATCCTTGGGTCATCTTGCCACAGGTAAATTTTTAACTTTGTTTGATACCCATGTCGTTGGATTTGTAACTCTTTCAATGGTAGGACTGTGTGATCTTTATAGACAAAATTAACATTCAGAGCATAACTACTTAGTGTCCTAGGATGGTTATGAAAATGCTTGCCAGTATCCGAATGTGGTGGATGATTGTTGGTTGAATCTGAGATTATGCTTATAAAACGAGTTTCAAACCACTTTCAAGTAACGTTTCTGGTAGAATAAAATTTGCAGGTTGTGGTAGTTCTGGTTGGCAAGCACCGGAACAGCTTCTTCAGGGTCATCAAACTCGTGCAGTAGACATGTTTAGTCTAGGATGTGTACTATTTTACACCATAACTGGTTGTAAGCATCCATTTGGAGATGATCTTGAACGTGATGTTAATATTGTGAAGAACAAAGTCGACTTATTTCCGGTAGAGCATGTTCCTGAAGCCTCGGATCTCATCTCTCGTTTGTTGAACCCAAACCCTGGTTTACGGTAACACCATCCTCTTCTCTGATGATTCAAAACTCACTCACCAAAACCCAATTTCTTATGCACCGCTTGCTATTTTGCAGTCCTAGTGCAACCGAAGTGCTGGTCCATCCAATGTTCTGGAACTCAGAGATGAGACTGTCTTTTCTTCGTGATGCTAGTGATCGAGTAGAGCTTGAAAATAGAGAGGCTGATTCTCAAATCTTGAAAGCAATGGAGAGTATAGCTCCAGTGGCTATAGGAGGGAAGTGGGATGAAAAGATAGAACCTATCTTCATTACAAACATCGGGCGATACAGACGTTACAAATATGACAGTATTCGCGATTTGTTACGTGTGATCAGAAACAAACTGAATCATTACCGAGAACTTCCTCCAGAGATCCAGGTTTGTCTTAAATAAATCCCTCAAACAATGTTTACACACGTGAGCTTAAAACTGTGTTATTTTGGAACTTTTGATGTGTTAGGAACTTGTGGGAACGGTTCCAGAAGGATTCGATGAGTACTTTGCTGTTCGGTTTCCAAAGTTGCTGATTGAAGTCTACAGAGTCATCTCTCTGCACTGCAAGGAAGAAGAAGTATTCAGAAAATACTTCGAATGCAACAGCATCTAAATAACCATCTCGCTTCATGTTAGTTATTGTAATCCATGTTTGTTATTATTATTGTACATTACATAACTTAATTGCTATCTAAACTAATTGCGACATGTGTGACTAGTGTATGTATATATCTTTTCATGTAAGATTTATGTTTCAAATAACGTATTCTGAAATTAAAATAAGATTCGTACGTCGAAATGTTTTCTTTTTTGTAATGTAGAATCTAGCTGAGTGAGTACTTACGAAATGGTTTTGATGAGCCAGGATGCTCGTTTCGTCTCGATCCGTAAACAGAGATCATCGGTTTTAGTTATGAGCTTGATTCCAAACAGAGACTGAAATCAACAAAATCGGAAATCTACAGCAGCTTAGATGAAGAAGATGGAAAATAGAAGAGATCGGGATTATCGGAACTTTATTTTGAAATTTGTTGTGTAAATTGTCCCACATCGACAATTGCTATGAAAGAAGTATCTGAGAACTCAATATAAATAGGATGTTGTGTTGTCCCATTTGAACAACGAATAGGCCTCTCTCAAAAGCCAACTAAGATCTGTCTAGTCAACTTGAGGAGATCCAACAAGTTAAATTTTTGTCACTATACCGGAAATCAGTCGGTTTATGTCAATAGACTGGGCAATTAATTGGTTCTAAATCAGTCGCCGATTTGTTTGACTGATTCGGTTCAATTTTCAGCGATAGGGCAGCGCTGAGCGATAGGGCAGCGCTGAGCGCCTAAGAGACCGGTAATTTGGTTAGGCTCGATATCTTCTGTTTGCTTCTCCTAGATCTGAAACCCTATTTCTTTATTTCGAGCCATGGACTCCAATCTTGCTTTGCTTGCTTCGGATCACTCAAATCCTTCGATTTTGACTCCTGAAGTTTTCAATGGTTCTTTGCCTGAAATAAACGATTCTGTAGCAAAGTCTGAACGACCTTTACTATCGGAGAATGGTGTTAAGGAGACGTTGAATGGTAATGACAAGGATCAATCTGGCGGAGAAGAGGAGACCACAAACAGGAGAAAACGTCGAAGTCGGTGGGATCCTCCGCCTACTCAATCGGTTAATAACCCTGTCACCGAAGGTGGTGGTAGCGGTAGTGATTCCAAAACTGGGACGAGGAAGCGTAAGTCTAGATGGGCGGATGATGAGCCGAAACCGGTAATACAACTACCTGATTTTATGAAGGATTTCACCAGTGGTATCGAGTTTGATCCCGAGATTCAAGCTTTGAATAGTAGGTTACTTGAGATCAGTAGGATGTTGCAGTCTGGTGTGACTTTAGATGATAGACCGGAAGGACAAAGGTCTCCTTCACCAGAGCCTGTGTATGATAACATGGGAATTAGGATAAACACTAGAGAGTACAGAGCTAGAGAGAGATTGAATAGAGAAAGACAAGAGATCATCTCTCAAATCATTAAAAAGAACCCTGCTTTTAAACCCCCGGCGGATTATAGGCCTCCTAAGCTCCAAAAGAAACTTTTCATTCCGATGAAGGATTTTCCCGGTTACAATTTCATCGGTCTTATTATTGGTCCCAGGGGGAATACTCAGAAGAGAATGGAGAGAGAAACAGGTGCTAAAATTGTGATTCGGGGCAAAGGGTCTGTAAAAGAAGGTAGGCTCCAGCAGAAAAAGGATTTAAAATACGACCCTTCGGAAAATGAGGACTTGCATGTTTTAGTCGAGGCTGAGACTCAGGAAGCTCTTGAAGCTGCTGCTGGTATGGTTGAGAAGCTGTTGCAACCTGTTGATGAGGTGCTGAACGAACACAAGAGGCAACAACTCAGGGAGCTTGCCACCTTGAATGGAACAATAAGAGATGAAGAATTCTGTAGGCTGTGTGGTGAGCCAGGACATAGACAATATGCGTGTCCTTCTCGTACAAATACCTTTAAAAGTGATGTTCTTTGTAAGATTTGTGGTGATGGTGGACACCCTACTATTGATTGTCCGGTGAAGGGTACCACTGGAAAGAAAATGGACGATGAATATCAAAATTTTTTGGCAGAGTTGGGAGGAACTGTCCCTGAATCTTCACTTAAACAGAGTCCCACCTTGGCTCTTGGTCCGGGAAGTAATCCTCCGTGGGCTAACAATGAGGGAAGTGGGGCAAGTACACATCATGGCTTAGGGTATATTTCAGCCAAACCTTCCAAAGAATATGATGAAACAAATCTGTACATTGGGTTCTTACCTACGATGCTTGAGGATGATGGTTTGATTAATCTGTTTTCACCCTTTGGTGAAATTGTGATGGCAAAAGTAATCAAGGACCGTGTGTCTGGTCTGAGTAGAGGCTATGGTTTTGTGAAGTACGCTGATGTCCAGATGGCCAATACTGCCACTCAGGCAATGAATGGTTACTGGTTAGAAGGTAAAACACTTGCTGTTAGGATTGCTGGTAAACAGCCAACGCCACCTGGACCTCCAGCTCCTCAGCCACCAACTCAAGCTTATCCTCTTCCAAACCAGCCGTCTAGTGTCTATTCTTCACAACAATATGCCACTGGTGGCCAACTGCCAAATCCTCCCTATTCAACAGTTCCAGTTCCTTGGGGTCCTCCTGTTCCTTCCTATTCTCCATATGCTCCTCCCCCTCCTCTTTCGGGTTCTTATCATCCTCCCCCTGGTCAACATATTTCTCCTTATGGAATGAACTACCCACCACCACCTACTCCTCATGTGATACAAGCTCCTCCACCTGGCACCGTTTCTAGTGAAAGCCAACAAAACTTCCCACCAGGGGTACAAGCAGACAATGGTACTACTGCTTCATCTGTGCCAACGAGTGTCTATAATAACTCTTTGCCTAGACAGCCTCCGTACATTAGTTATCCATCTTATTACAATGCTGTTTTACCTTCACCGCCACCAGCACCGGCTTTGTCTACTGATCATTCCCAAAGCGTGGGTTACAACATCCCACGGGCTAGCAATCCTCCTATGTCAACATCTGATCACTCACAAGGTCTTGGTAATGCACCTTGGGCACCTAATCTTCCTATGCCACCTTCTGCTGGATATTCACAGAGCATGGGGAACATACCCTGGGCTCCCAAGCCTCCAGTACAGCCACCTGCAGAGAATCCATCTTCTATTGGAGATTCTGAGTATGAGAAGTTTATGGCTGAGATAAAATAGCATGTGTGTTCTGAGGAGTAACTCATTAGGGAAGAAGGTAAGATATCCTCATTTAATGTTTTTGTTTTGTTCTCCCTAAAGGTATTGAAGCTCAATTTTGAAATTGAATCTTATGGCAACTAGCTCAATTTTTTAGCTAATGATAAAAAAATTTCTTTCTCAAAGTTTTCCTACGATGTAATATTTTCCCGACATCATTTTTTAGACACTTGCAATTGCAGGATAAACAAAGTCGAGCATGTCTGCCTTGTTTCCTTCCTTTTTCTTCAGAAAATTTTTTGTACTTATGTTTCTTTTACGTATTTCTCTGTTTATAGTTTTGTCACATCATAACTAGTTGTTGTAGCTCATTAATCTGGTCACTGTGAGCAATCGCACAGCCTAAAGGAGCACATGTTCTGATATCCGATACTGAAACATAGAATTCTGAAGTTGGATGTTTGAATATTTGTCAATTTAACCTGTATTTTTTTTTTCACTTCTCTTTTAACTCTTTATTTATTAAGTAACTCTTAATGTGTTATTGTCCCATATAGAATGCATTTAGTGTTTCCATTTGACAAGATCTAAACTACTTCTAGCATAGGTTCGAAAAGTTTGTCTCTGTTATTGTATATGGCTCATTAACACAAATCTTTGTTTTCTTCCTACTGTTTAATTTTTTTTTTCAGGCGTGATGTTTCTTGGAGCTCTTGTACCATGATTTCCTTACACCTTTCTTGTTGGAAGTTTGGGACTCACATCTTAACCCTTGCTATGCTGTTGTGAAATATGCAGAGATACAGGCTGGAAGCTCCCCAAATTCCATACAGTTGCGCTTGAGAAAGGCGATAAGATTTTTATTCATGTTACTGATAATAATTGCTGCTCTTTTGTAGGACTATATATGTCTTGGTTCATGTTTTATTTCACAATACTCATATTTACTGGTGACCAGTGTGTTAAATCTGTCTTGAGCTCTCTCATTTACTCACAATTGCTTTTCACAATTGCTTTTATACCTTTCCAATTTTGGAGCTTGAAACTTTTGGTGGTATCATAATGCGAAACATATATATTATTCATTGTGAAGCAAGATATGAATCCTCTTGGTCTTGATGTTTTCTCTCTTTTATTTATATCTCATCTCTTATGTGCATGGGGAATTATTATCTATCACGTTTCATAGGAACATGAAGGCAGCATAGGTATGTTGAATACTTTGATCATTCTTTTCCTTAATGCAATCTTATATAACAATGATGATATATTTGATAGTGATATAATATATATCAAGCTTATATGTGACATGTGCGAGTTCTTGTCTAGGGATCCTAGTTAACTTTAATGCCATTGTTATTATACTCGGCTCATCTATATCTAGCCAAGTGTATACATGTGTTTCAAAGTCTGTGTGTTAGAAATCGGCAGTACATAGTATTGGTGATTGTATAGGATATGTAACTTTGTAATAGGATTCATTTAGTTCCTGAATCATGTCTAGAATTATTATTACTTTTTGATAGAAAGCTTTTTAATAAGTTGGGTTTGTTTGTCTGTATTGCATATTTGTTTGACTGTATTGTCTGCATTAAAAAAAGAAGCTGTTTATTTTTCAATCATAGAAACCATTTTGTTCATTTGTGCTTACTTTAACAATTATGGGTTAGTGGTGTGATGTAATAAAACTAGAAAGGGATATTGGCATGGAGCGTTTATAGAGGAAGTTGCTCTCATCTGCTTTGGCCATTTGTTATCATTAGCTATTTGCGGGAGCTTATGTCTGAGCTAACTATGTTACTGTATCTTGTCTTGAGTCATGTCATTGTTTTTTTAATATTTTTTTTAATACACAAAATTCTTTTTTTCTTTCTAATTTTAGTTTATAAAAAGCTTAACGTTATTGACTTATTTCTTCTCGCACAGAAGCTAAAAAAAAAATAAGAAAAGAGTATTGGCTTGTGGTACTTTCTTCCCCACCTTTTCTTTTCTGCTTTGAAGTAGAAAGCTTTATGAAAGAAGATATTCAAAACCTCACAAGCCTTACACCGGTTTATCTTCTTTTGTATTACATGACCACAAGAATTAGAAAAATAATAAATAAGACAATTATTTCCCTTTTTATTCAGTAATATACTATCAAAGTTGCATTTTTTACAATAGTTTTGGGTTTTGACTTTGAAGTTACCGAATTAAAATGATATCATATATACAATATACATGTTATTCTACTTATATTACTCAAAGTTAATGCTCTGATTAACATTTTTCTTATTAAGTATAGTTTGAGAAACTATACTCTTCTATACACTGTTAATTAATTTTTTATTATAATCAAGAGTGGACGGAAAAAGGAGAGACTTATATTAAGCCCGTATCGGGCCGGATGTGTCCAACTTTTGAATTAGCCCATGATTCTCCAATGAGTGTGTTACCTCTTAAGGTATTTTTTAGAAGATAATACTTTTTATAGTCACTTTCTGAGTTTGGTGGATTTTTTTGCACTGTTTAGAAACTGTTCACTGTTGGAAAAACCAAAATGCCCCTGTGTTAAGTTGTATATGTAATGTGAGTAAATCTTTTTTACCAACCTGGGGCTGGTTCTAGTAAAAAAAAATAGACCGAACACGTTATATATTATTGCTCTTATATCAGTTGATGGCTGTATTCAATATTACTCTAACCAAAATCTAAATTTCAAATTCAACCTAGTAGTCGATTCGAATCAATCTCTCCCATTTTTGTTTTCTCTCCTGCTACAAATCCTACAACAATGGCGCAGCAGCAACAATTCCTTCACCAGTGTCCCATCGAAAACCCATTTTCAAACCCTTTCTCTTCCTCTCCTCTTCCGAATTCTACATCCTCAAACCGTCCCATCTCTTTCCTCAGCCGCAAAGGTCTCCTCCTCATCCTCATCGCACTCCTCCTTATCCTCGGTGTATTCTTACCCTGGGCAGGATCTCCCTTATTCCTATTTCAAAGCAGAAGCTCTTCTTCTTCTTCTTCTTCTTCTTCTTCTTCTTCTTCGCATTCCAAATGGCGCAAATATTCCCTTGGTCAAGCCGCCAAATATTCCCTTGCTCATGCCGTTCTCATTCCTCCGACGCTGGATTCTCAGACCGCGCACAAATTCGGTTCCCAAGTACTATCTCTTCACTGAGTTTCATCTCTATCTTAACTGGTAATGGCTTATAATACTTGGTATCTGTGTGTGAATACTTGGTTTTCATCATATTGATTCACTTTGATAGATGATGGATGTTCGATGATTAGCTAGTGTTATTTCACTGATTCTCGGTTTTATCGCTAAAGGGAACCTAAACATAGATTAGTTTGTGTAAACTCTAGATCATAAGTTTGTGTTGTCCTCGGTTTTGAGCTATGTTTATAACTTCCAATGGCTGATCCCACACATAAAAATGGATTGTGAGCTTGTGGTTATAGTAGCAGTTGTTTTCTTCCTTAACTTGATCGAATGATTATGTAGTTTAGCTTTCATGTGGTTTAGTTTTATAGTTAGATATGGGATTATGGATTTCATAATCTTTACTGATTATTGATTAGCTAATGTTATTATAGTGGTTGCTCGGATCATTAGTTTGTGTAATCCCTCGAGGTTATGGGTTTAAGCTGTGTTTGGTACATCCATGACTGATAGATATAATGAGTAACGAAAGATGGTGAACTTGTGGATGTGGTAGTAACCACTTTATTTATTTATTTATTTTTTTTTTTCTGATTTTGATCGAATTTGAGTGATTATGTATCCCCTGTTTCTGATTTTGATCGAATTTAAACGAATCGGTATTTGACTAATGGTACAAATGCGGTTAGAGTTTCTTTAATTTTACATCTTGGAGCCTGCAACATCTCTTGCACATTTTGGAGCTAAGAAACAATTTGGAATAGGTTCCTGCTGCTCTTGTAGCTCTGGACCTAAAAACTACAAGAGCTTGTCCTAAAAACTTACATTATGGAGCCTAAAGCATAAGAAGCCGATGAATTAGTTACTTGAAATTGAGTAACTTCTAAATCGATGTTGTGAAATTCTTGTGAGATTGTTATATATGGTGAAATATATTCCCTTAATTATTGCCATGATCTCCTCTTATAATTTGTTTATAAGATTCCATTTAAATCATCATGTCCATGTTAACATAACTAAATGGACATAAGAAAGTATTATGGTTTAATCGAGAAATTGAAATCCATACAAGTACATATCGTTTCTGGAAACTATGTGAGCATAACTATGGTTTCTTGAAGTGGACATTTTAATAGATTTCATAGCAGCAAACTTCTCTAAACAGCAAGTCATGGATAAATCAAGAACTTGAAGAAGAGGTTTATGAATTACCAAGAGATCTATGGATGGGTAAGGACTTTCCTTTACTAATACCGACGACGATGAAATCTTCAAAACATCAATGATCATATGGGCCACAAATGAAACAGAGGGTGCTTCTAATGAGACTATCGACCACGTCAATGTGAGTTAGTGTTGCTTTTTTTTCACCAATCTCCTTATTACCATCTGGAAACGTGTAAAATTTAATATTACGAATGTGTTTAATGATCTTAGCGTGCTTCTTCTTTTGAATAAGGATGTGCCTTATGTGGCGCATGGAAGTGTTGCTTAGTTTCAAGGTAAAAGCATCCACAAGAGTCATGTTGCTTAGTTTCAAGGTAACAAGCATTTTACATCTCCTGGTATATATGCTCCATGGAAGTACGACCGGTGTTGAAACGAAAGGACTATTCATATTGACATCCAACTCACGCACACGGTGTTTAACAGCAGTTTTAAACCCATACTCCAATATCTAAAACACCAGACTTTCGATAAAGTTTCAAACAAAGACTCTCTAGAACTGGAGCCTCGTGTAACAGCAAAGAGCTGTAAACAAACCGCAAGAACCTACTGCCTACACCAAGGTATTGGTACATAGCATAATCATATTCAAGTCTTGGCACCAACACCACAATACACTTCCATCGTTTAGACAAAACCATTGTGACTACGACATCTTTGGCAGGCAGCAATGATAATATCCTCAAAATCAACTCCTCAGACAAGTGAGTTATCATATCCGCATGAGCCATTCCCTTTCAAATCTCCATGAACCATTCACTTTCATATCCCAACCCTGTTCTGTTCTACAAAGCTCTTTATTTTTTTTTTTTTTTTTTTTTTGACATTCTCTTTATTATTATCCAGAAACATTATGTAAATCTGATATTACTAATGCTTAACAGATCTGACATTCTTGTTTTGAATAAGGATGTGCCTTAGTCTAAAGATCTCATGTCTCCCTTGATAATTCAAATTAGTCAATTTCTTATTAATGTGCATGGTCATTGTCGTAGAAAATTCAACTTCTGATTAAATTGATAAGAACCAGATATGCTAAGACACACACATATTTTCTGAATCATCTAAAAATCCAATCTGACAAAGGAAAGCTCTTAATTTATTTGCTATCCATTGTCGTAATAATCCTTTGTTTCATATTTCATAAGCTTAAGTCCATCCTATTCTTAGTAGGAACTGGAATTGAGCTTCAAAGTCAGTATTTGTTTTGTTTAACTTTTGTCTGTTTATTGGTCTTGATCTTGGTTTCAGAACATGTGTGCAAGAAAGTTGAGTATGTGTTTAGTATCCGTGTGTGTGTTTTTTTTTTTCCTTTCAAATCTGAATTTTCAAATTTAAGCTACACAAGTGAAATATGTCAAAGATCACTGAGATAAATTCCTGTTTGAAGAAAACCATATTTTACTTGCCGGGCACATAACAAAAAGGAACAATGGAATTATGGAAACAATTTTAATTACACACGAATCTCTGTATATAGGCGATGAATTGTTTTTGTCTTCGACGAGGAGCTATACTAATAATGGAAGCATCATAAATAGATTTTTTAAAATTGATAATATGTTTATAAGATTCCATTTAATCATTGTGCCATGTGAGCATAACTAAATGGACATAAGAAAGTTGCATCTACGTGAACTTTGTCTGAGCTATACAATATTTATACCTGTTATGCAAAAAGA